ATTTTTAAATTATTTTTATTTTTATTTAAATGTTGAAATAAAAATGTTAAGTGTCACTTAAGTTAAAAAGGGGTTAAGTGTAATTTAAAAAATAAAATAAAAATTATTTAAAAATAAAAAATAATAAAATTCAATTATCAAAAGTTATATTTTTTAATTATTTTTAAATTAAAAATAATTTTTAAGTGAATCAAAATAGTATTTTAATTTTAGTCAGATGAGTAACCAAAGTATACAAAATTGGGTTACTCTCACATATTTTCTAATAAAACCGTTAAACCTTTAGTGAACAATTAGTTAAAGAGAAAAAGTATTTTTTCATAATAAAAATGTAGTTAATTATCATTTAAGTGAATTTAGAGACAGGTAATTGTTTTTTATTTTAAAATTTATGAAGAAGAAAGTAGGTATAATGGGTGGCCACACTCAAATTAGGTTATATTAATATCAAATTATAATTATTGTTGTGCCTTCCATGAGACCAATCATGTCCCTCTTTGTAACACCCAAAACCATCTTTCAAAAAAAAAAAGAAAAGAAGAAAAATTATTAAAACCACTTTGAGTTGAGTTTTAAATTATTTAGAGAGAATTTTGAATAATTTGGGATGGAAGAAAGTGTTTTAGAAGTTTTGGAAGAAATGAAGTTTTTAAAAAAAAATAAATAAATTACCCGCGGTTACTGTAGCAGCGTGCTGCACACTGGAATTGCCGCGCTACAACGCGCCCAAGCACTATAGCGCGGCAGGCACAGGCCAGACGCGTTTTTTTGGCTTTTTCTTTAAAATTTGAGAATTTTAACCCCTTTAAGGATCCCTAAACTCTCTTAAACTCTTAAAAAACTATAAAACAAAGATTTGAGAGATATCCTAGGTACCCAAAATTCATTAGGATTAAAATTGAGGATAATTTTAATGAAGGGCAAGATGGTCTTTTTGGCTTAAGTTAATGTTTTAAAGGTTTGGGGGGGTCCTTAGGGCTCATTTTCGCCCAAAAGAGAGAGAAATAGAGGGAATGAGAGAAAGAGGAGAAAAGGAGGAAGAAGGTATGTAAAATGGTCCAATCTCAAACCCCATTTGATTTTTCTTCAATATTTCTACATGTTTAGCTTCCTCTCTTCGTTTTATAGTTTTTAATTGGTGTAAATTTTGTATTTTGATGTTATTATGTATTGTAGAGAGAGAAAGTGGGTTTACCCCCACCCATGAGATATTTTACTTGAATCTTGATAATTCTTGTTAAAGTAACCTTAGATGTTATTTTATTTGAGGATATTTATGTTGTTATGATTGGATTAAAACTTGAATGAAGTGATTATGGTTGAAATGTAAGAGAAATGGGTGAAATGATGTTGAAATGGGATAAGGGCATATATGGTTGGAGTTGAAATGGAGAAGAATGGGATAAGGGCATGTTTGAATGGAACCCAAATGTACAAAAAGATTAAGGGCATGTTTGGATGAAACCTAAAAGTTAGAAAGAGAAAAAAGTTGTATTTATACCTTATAGGGTATAGTTATTACTTTCGTATGATGTATTTAGGTAAGTTCTCTCATGTTTGTGTATTCCCCTTGTAGGAGAGGATACCCCAATTACTTCAGACCCTAGACCTACAGCTTTAGGAGCACCCTTAAAAGCTCATACTGCACAGTGAGTGGGAATCTTCCTAATCTTAGTTTATTTTCACAAATTATGATTTATAATGAATAATGCTCATTTCAAACTCAAATATATGTTGCTACTGAGAACATGAGAAACAGTCCAGCTATGTTATGATTTCGAGTGTATACTTAATTACATGGTTTTCATAAATTTATATTATTTTGGTACCTTAGCACCTAAACCATGATATCAGACAACCATCTAGGGCAGGTGGCGGTTCTACTTGTATGACATAATATATGTATGTTTATTTTCCCTAATGAAAAGGGACCATGCGCCAAAGACTTTGTTAGCTTGGCGGGGAGTGGCAACCCCTAGCGCGAGTTACACAGTGTAGTAGCGTCCGACATATTTATGTTTTGCCCAATAAGGACCCATATTATGTTTTATGCTTTTACTGCCCCCGGACACCTTCGGTTGTGCACATCTGACCAGAGTATACATGTGAATATGATTATGTAATATGATTTTTATGATTTTTCTATGATACCCACGAAAACTTTTATGATTTATGCTTATACCTCTTATGTTTTATGACTTGCAAAAATAACAATTCAGCTTTCACATTGCTGACAATTCAATTATTATGTCTCATGACATGAAACTCTTCGAGAATGTTTATATTGTTTAAATTGATACAAAAACTGACTATTTCCACTGGGACTAGTTAGATTTCCTTTCACTAGAACTTTGGTCTCACCCACTATTTTTCCCCCCTGCAGATGCTGAGATATTAAGTTAAAACCTTGGTATTCATTTTGCACGTGTTTTGCTCACTTTATAGCACCAGACCGGGTCAGGCTATTAAAGACTTATTTTGGATTTTATGTTGTAGAGATAAATTATGTGTGTTGGGAGGTTATCTTATATTTTGGATATTTGTAAATAATTTGTGATATTGAGGTCTTATGGATGAATTACTGTTGATTAAGCATATGTGATGATTTTAAGCATAGTATGATGTTAGATGATTAATAGAAATGTATTACAAGATGAATTATGCTTAAGTTATAGGCTGGATGAGTTATTGCATGTTATGTATATGTTGCGAAGTTATTTTTAAAGTAGGTACTCAAACACATGGCCCTTAAGGCCATCTAGAAAGGGTTTACAGTAGCCGGCATGTTGCCAGGTTTTACTCTGCGGTGTGTTGGTTATTATACTACTGTCATGCCTTTTAAGGTTTAAAAGGTTGGGGTGTGACACTCTTTGCAATGAAACATTCTGTCTCAAGTTAATTTTTTATGTTAAACATATGATTAAATTGTTGGGGCTACAGGGATAGGCCAAAAAAGTATAGATCTTATGCAACTTTGGTAGGGATGGGGCATGCCATATCACTAATTTTCCTTTCTTTAGGCTTGGAATGACACGACGGGGGTTTCATAAGAATTTTCTCCCCTTTCCATAATAATCACCATCTTGCCTCTTGAACTAGGAGACAAATGGAATAATAATATTATTTTTTAGAAAATACTTAAGAAAAATTACCAAGTCAGATAGTCTGATAATTTTAATTATTTAGAATGTCAAAATATAAAATATTTTTATTCCGAGTAAGAAAAATTTATTAAGTTAAAAATATATTTCACATTTTCAAAATACTTCTATTACTATATAAATATATGTGTATAACAAGCAAGTAACTGTATAATTACAAACATATATTTGTGCAGTTTCAAGCTCTATAAATACACAAATACAAGTTTATGATCACACAGTTACACATTTGTAAGTTATAAGTATATATCTGTGTAATAACAAGCATATTTTTAGAACACAAAATGTTTTTCACTGAACTATTTTTTCTTCATATCCTAAATAGAAATATTTTGGTTTTGACTATTTGATTAATTAAAATTATTGTCCCACTCAGTAATTTTTCCAATAATTATACCCCTGTTTGTCTGCACAATTTATTTCCACAAAAAGCTCAAGCCGAAAAAGTAACTTGTAAGAAATTTGAAATGTCCAAACAGAAGTATAAATAATGGTCTGAACATTGCCCCGTCACTGGGCAAGAAAGAAATTTTTTTTTTTTTTTTTAAAAAGAAAGAAACTAATACCTAAAATTTAAAGGCACAACTGCCCCATCATTGTGGATGGAGATTCCACCTTTCTCCCTCTCACATACGCCCAAGAATTCCTTTTTTCTAGTCAAAATAAGATAGTTAATAACAAGGAGATATGCAACGCCTATGTATTTTAATTTTTAACAAAGTAAAATTCATAATGGACGGCATCTTTGATTAGCAATTGGACAGTGACATGGATGGAATCAAATTTCATTTTTGCATTAATTTCAAAGCTAATGACCCTTTTTTCCTGCTTACCAACCACTGATTTTGAACCTCTTCTAGTAGCATCTTGGATTATGGTTGATTCTGCAGCCCCAGTGCCAACTAATTTAACATTCTTTTCAGAAAGGAATCCACAAGAGCACATTTGAGGTTCCCCTTTCCCATACATTCCATCTTTTGAGAGGGAGCATCTTTCAACTTTCAATTTCAAATCTTCTAAAAAGTTCTTCCCAGAATGAAGAGGAATATACACCCTACGTGAGAGTCTAGTAAATTGCTCTCTGGTCTTCTCCCTTCAAGTAACTCCAACTAATCGAGAGATGATCACCAATTATCCACCACCCTGATAAGAATAGGGATGAGACTAAATTAGATTCCCAAACGGATTTAATTATAGAAGTGGTTTCCCACCAAATTCCTGTTCTTAACGTTACTTTACAAATCTTTAATAGTTTTATATGAAAATATAATCTTTACCACTGTTTTTTATTGTTGGATATTGTTTGGTAATACTTTTTAAAGAAAATGTTGCAGTGCATTTAGTGTTTGATACTGTTAATTTTTGAAAATATTTTCTAAAACATAATGTACATGGTTTCCTGTGAAACTTTTTTAAAATATAGATTTAAAGTTGTATGATTATAAGTGGGGTCACATTTGCTATCTTGAGTAATTTAGGAATAGGGAAGGGAATCCCATGGTGATTAGAGGCCCTGCAACGATGGGGGTGGAGCATTTGGAACCAATCCCCACCCCCATCCTCGCCACTTTGCTATCCCTGACCTGAGGGGACATCAATCGTGCGTGACCCTACCTGCGAGATACCCAAATCTAGTTAAAGAGAAAAAAGATCGAAAGACTATCTTACAATATCAACATTTGCCAGAAATACTAAATCCTTTCTCTTCCTTTTTATTCTTATTTGTTTATTTATTTATCCCCCCCCCCCCCCCCCTCTTATTTTTGGGTGGGGGGAAGTCGGGTCTCCGTAGCCAAGGTTCCACAAGACATGCAGCTTACAATACGGTCATTTCAGATCCTAAAATCTTCCAATCAAATGCATACCATCTGCCATCTTTCTTAAAGTCCCCGTACGGATTTCTTCCACTTCAGCCTCAGACCAAGTCATTCCAGCCCAGAAGCAGCAGCATATTATTACAACATTGCTCAATGGGGACAAACTTGCATTCCAAGCTGTCTAATAATCCAGAAAGTATATTTGCCCACGTATCACAGGTTCACACCCACACTTAGGATAGATAAGCTGGTCTGGGAAAAAGAAGAGTAAAAAGCACACAAGCGAGAAAATCAATGCCTTAATATTAACACAAAAATTGCCTAAGTTTGTACCTGCACATCTTTTCACCAACATGATTTGAAGTTGCCACAGAACCACCATGAAAATTTTCAATTTGAAAAGTTTTTGCATATTCAATTACAGTTTTGGTCAAATTCATATCTCACCCAGGCGACATCCACACAACTTTACCTGCTCAGGGCAGACTAATTTGAGGAGAAGACACGATATAATACTGTATCTTCAACAAATTACTATTTCCCTCCATTGACAATGGAATTCTATTGGCAATAGACTAAATTCAAACTGTGCAACATATTTGTTCCAGGTTGTGCTTAGTAAGCTGAGGGAGAATACAGGGGGCAAACTAATGTTTAAGGCAGCTTCAGAGGAAGAAGTCCAGAAATTTAGGCTCCATCTGGCTGGACAAAAGGGTTGGCAATCTCATCAGTTCCATCAGTTGGAGATACAAGCATCACGGCAGTTCCTCTACATACCTGCATTAGAGCATAATAAGGAAAATGTGAAAAAATTATTACAAGAATTCCATTTGAGTACCGCAACTTCTCTTTCTTCTCTATAAAGAGGAAAATAAGTGCAAGCCATCCCACATGATGCATGTACAATAGCTAGGAAAAAGGCAGGAAAGAATAAGTTGGCTCCCCAGTAAACAAGAAAGAAAGACAGGAGTATAATAATTGGTAGACTTTGGGAAACAGTAGTAGACTAGGATCCTACTAGTGCTACTAAGGGAAAACTATTTAAAACAGCTTCTGACACACACACACACACACAATGACACGTATGTTGTGGGGATGAAAATACTTTATTAATTTGATCATTGTAAGATTACTCAATTTTCATGAGAATTTCAGGAACAACTGCATAATACAAAAACTTGAGACTTTACTTATTTCCCATTTTCTGGTTTTGGGCCCATGAGTGGGGTTTGAGATGCATATACAAAGCCTCATGCATGAAACATATTAGCTTTCAATGGAAAAAAATAGGAATTTGGTTATTCACCATGTATAAGGATAGGCGCTAAGAATCCACTTCACAAATGAATATCAGCAAATTTATAGGTTCAATTCCCACTGGATGCATGGCAAAAGGTACATACCAGCTAAAATTCTTAAAGAAGTTTTCTATATGAATAACCGATTCTCACACGAATAACCAGCCCCAAACAGGAAATATATCCTAGCCTAATAGGCCAATTATACTATCTCAAGGTTTCAGTAATTTGTAGGTTCAATTCCCACTGGATGCATGGCAAAAGGGACATACCAGTTGAATTCTTGAAGAAGTTTCTATATGAATAACTGGTTCTCACATGAATAAACAGCCCAAATAGGAAATCTATCCTAGCCTAATAGGCCAAATTATACTGTCCCAAGGTTTCAGTAAATACTATCTCTCTCTCTCTCTCTCTCTCTCTCTCACACACACACACACACACACGCACACAGAGTAATACCCCAAAATTTTTGGGGTATTATGAAAAAAAAAACTTAAAAAGGGGCTTAATTGAGTTATATTAATCTTTCGGGGTTTGAATGCGAATTAACAAAAGATGCAGGGACGAAATTGAATGAAATCAGAAGTTTGGGATCAAATCAAAGGAAATTATTATTTTCAGGGGCTAAGTAGTAATTATCCCAAATTGAGATCCGGATTCAATCCCCAAATTTCCTTCTGACATCCCAAATTGGGATCCGACCAAATCTATGAGATCTCGTGATGCAATTCCAAAATTGATCATATCAACGTGTTAACATAAATTCTTGGAACGAATTTACTCATTTAATTTTACAGATTACCTCTAGTTGTTTGGAAATCTTAGAAAAATTTTTTTGACTAGCTACCAGCCTGAACAATTGCAAAACTCACAAAGTTTACTCTCATCCGGTCACTTGTCAGCCATTGATAAACTCTCCCCCAGTCGCTAACACCCGTCGATCACAGCCATTGAAGAAATTCGAGGTAAGTCATCGAATCTTTGAAAAAATTCTGGGATGGGAGCTGTCGGGTAAGAACGCCAGACCTGAGTGAACACTCAGGTCTGTGCCAAATCGGGTTTGGGCCATTGAAAATTAGGTTTGGGCCAGGAGGCTGAGTGGCTGTGGGTTTTCTTAAAATGGGTTGGGCCGCGTTCCACCTGGGCCAAACCAGTACTCGTTTGGGCCACTGGGCCATTGGGTTGGTCTGTAAATTGAATTAGGTTAAAGCTATTGGGTTGGGCTTCGTATCGGGGGCTTTAGGGTTAAAACTGGTTCAAAAAGGGAAAAACAACCGGTTTAGGGCTTCAAACACCAATTCATTACACGGTTTGACCGGTTCTGGACTCCTTGAAGACTGGTCCAGTGTTTGACCAACCAGTTCAATATCTTTATCAACCGGTTCAATGTTTAAACTTCAAATTATTGCTAAAAAGTGATCGGTTCAAGTAGTTAACGGCCAGTTCAGTGTATAACTGGCCACTTCAAGGTGTTACATGGCCAGTTCAGTGAATGAACGACTGGTTCAATGCAGTGTTGTCAAACGGCGGCCATGGCGGTGCCATGGCCTATGGCAGATGCAAAATTCCAAAATTCCGCCACAGTGCCATCCGCTTTTAGCCTTTTTGTCATAGCGGCGCCATGGCGCCCACTATGGCCAAGGCATCGTGGCGTCGTAGCGACGCCATGGCTGTAAGCAGGTTCGGACCGGGTTTGCCGATGGCCCATAGGCCTCAGCTAGCCCAAGGGCTTTGAACGAGATGGGCTAGGGCTTGGATCTTCTCCTTTGAACTGGAAAACATACCTGCGCGCGAAATAGAGAACTGTCCATCGCATGCGAGAAACGATCGGCAGACGATAGACGAAAGCAAGGGACAGACGACAGCCAACAGCCAGAGCTGAGAGATGACAAACGATAGCCAGAGCTAAGAGCCAAGAGAGATGAGAAAGACTGAGGGAACTTTTCTGCGCCTGCATAACTGGGTAGAGTGAAAATCGACAAAGAGACGACAGACGACACCGAGCGACAGACGACACCGAGCGACAGACGACAGCAAGGAGGGAGACAACAAAGACACGACAACAAGGAGTGCACGGTTTTGCGCCTACAGAACTGGGTAGAGTGAGTTTTTTTTTTTTTTTTTAAGTTAATACCCTTCAGCTGCATAGAAAAACTAGGTAGGTTTTTTGTAGTTAATGCCCTTGGAGAAGATGAATTGATGGTTTTGGAGGAGGAAGAAGATACCGAGGATAGCTCAGAAGATGAAGTGGAATATGCTTCAAATGATGATGAGAAATACGATGGCAATAAGGACAATTACATGGAGGATGAGGATTAATGAGGATTTATATAGTTTAAGAATATTTTGTATGTTTGGGATTATTATTGACAGTTTGACTCTAATGTCTTTTATTCTTCTTTTTGAATGCTTGTGACACTTATTTGATTGTTATGAAATGACGTAATGATATTTATTTTTATTTAATATTAGTTTTTAGTTGTTTTTGCAAATTTTTATTGTAAATTTTAATTTTTTTTCTTGTTTGCCATGTGGCCGCCACGCCATCCACCATGGTGCCATGGCAGTTTTTTGGCTTGCCCGCCATACGCCATTGATAACACTGGTTCAATGTCATATATGGCTGGTTCAGCATGTTAAACGTCCAGTTCAGTATATTAAAGGCGGTTCAAGGCCGGTTTAGTGTATCAGAGACCAAATCGTGGCCAATTCAACGCCTTAATAAACAGTTCAATGCTGGTTTGATATTCTAATGATTAATTTATAAGTTAAATAAACTAGTTTTATGTTTCCTAAGTCTAGTTCAAGACTTTAAGGTTTGGTTCATGAGTTATTTGGTCGGTTTAGGACTTTAGTAGCCCAATATGGGTTTTTGGCACGAAAATATAGAGATTTACTTGGATTTTGATAAGGGAAATCATGTTTATCCAATTCATATTTATGATAATAACCTAAAAGGAGATATTTTCTTATTTTAGATTCTCTGCATGATTCCCGACGCGACCTTACATCTCAGGAGATTTGATCACTCGATTCATATTGATTTTTTGAGTAACAATGTGCATTTATGAGCGATTACTGTTTTTCATACCTGCTTTAACAATCTGATTTTATATGACATCTAATTTCTAAAAATTTGATTAAATCTGATTTTATGTGATATGTCTGATTTGCTAAAAATTTGATAAATTTCTATTATAAAAGTGAAACAAGGGACATGTATCGAATTTCGGAAATTGTTTGGAAAGGAATATTTGTTAATTATGTTTAACTTTGTACATAAAAAATTATGTTAAACTCAATGTTATCAATGGCATATGGCGGCCCAGGGCGGGCAAGCCAAAAAACCGCCATGGCGCCATGGCGTGGCGGCCACATGGCAGACAAAACAAAAAAAAACTAAAATTAACAATAAAAAATTGTAAAAAAACTAAAAACTAATATTAAATAAAAATAAATATCATTACATCATTTCATAACAACCAAATAAGTGTCACAAACATTCAAAAAGAAGAACAAAAAACACATATTAGAGTCAAACTCTTAATAATAATCCCAAACACACAAAATATGATAAATTGTTATTGTTATAATAGGAGTATTAACTCTTAACAAAAAAAATGCCTACTCCATTCATGTGCAGCTAAAGGGTATTAATTGGAAAAAAAAAAAAAAAAAAAAGCTACCCGTTTTCTACACAGCTGAAGGCTATTAACTTGAAAAAAATAAAAAATAAAAAACACCTTACTCTACCCAGTTACGCAGGCGCAAAACATGCACCCCTTACTGTCTGTCTCTCTGTTGTCTCTTCCTTCTTGTCGCCTGGTGTCGATCATCAAGATCCCTCCTTGTTGTCGTCTGTCGCCTGGTGTCGATCGTCACTCTGCGCGGAACAGCTCCCTCAGTCTCTCTAGGCTGTCTGCCGTCTGTCGTCTCTCGGCTTAAGGCTCTAGCTATTGGTTATTGTCTATCGTCTATCGTCTGTCATCTATCCCTTGCTTTCGTCTTTCATCTATTGTCTGTCGATCATTTCTTTATTTCACGCGCAGGTGTGTTTTCCCGCTGGAACGAGACCAGCTCGAAGCCCTAGCCCATCTCGTTCAAAGCCCTTGGGCTAGCCGAGGCCCATGGCTCATCAGCAAACCCCAGACAGAACTTGCTTACAGCCATGGCGTCGCTACGCCGCCACAACGCCATGGCCATAGCAAGCGCCATGGCGCCGCTATGACAAAAAGGCTAAAGGCGGATGGCGCTGTGGCGGAATTTTGGAATTCCGCCACCGCCATCCGCCATGGCGCCGCCATTTGACAACACTAGTTAAACTATTTCTGTTTAATTTTGGAAAATTCTGTTAAATGGTTTCTCTTTAGTCTGAAAAATGGAAAGTTCTGTTAAAATGTTCTGATATTTCTAAAAAATTGTTTTAAGGAAATTTCGTATTCTAGAACACTGTAGCTGACAACAGTAGGCATTAAACTGAGTGCACTCTATACAAGATCCCCATCTAACAAGGGTGATGGCGCTAGATTCTTGTCTTGGGCCGACATGGAGATTTGCATATGTATATGTGTATATGGGCATACAAGGATGCCACCTTTTGATTTCTATTTATTGACAAACTCGTATGTTGCCGTCCGAATTATCAGTATGACTGATATGTTGCTGTCCTATTTATCGGCGAACTAATATATTGCCGTTCTATTATCCGGCAGAATGAGTGTCACCATTTTGTTATCTGGCAAACTAAGTGTCGCCGTTCTGTTATTTGGCAGACTGTAAGTCGCCATTCTTATTTTTTATATATGTGATGTTTTGGATTACAAGCTCCCCAAAGTTAGTAATATATGAAAATGATTGGTTACATTGTAAAGTTTCTAATATACAAAAATGGTTTGTTACACTATAAAGTTTCTAATATATATAAATGATTTGTTACATTGTTAAATTTCTGATATTTGTAAATAATTTGTTACATTGTAAAGTTTTTAATAACTGTAAATGGCTTTGTTGCACTATAAAGTTTCCAGTTTCTATAAATGATTTGCTACACTGTAAAGCTTTCTAAATTACATATTATACCTGTCCCTTATTCTCGTAAATGCATATTATTGTTCACTAAATTTGTCGACTCATTTCTTTATTTTTATTTTTTTCAAATTCAAAGTTCGGTACTCGGTTAGATTCTGCTGCCTAGAATTAGTCTCTTTATTTCTGTTGTTTCTTTTCTTAGTTGGAAAAATTAGTTATTTCAGTTCTGTCAAATTTGTATTTCTGGATTCTATAAATAGCTCCATTAGATTACACACATGTTCTTGCGAATATATTGTCAATTTGTTTGAGGTTTTAGATTCGATTTTGTTTCTGATTTTATATAAGCTTTTGGTTCAATTATATATTAAGTCCAATGTTCGGCTTGCAGGATTAAAATTTATTTTAGTCCTTGTGCCGGTCACGGATCCACTTTTCTGGGTCGTCACACACACACACCCACACACACACACACACACACACACAAACATAAGAAGTTTCCAAAAGCACTATGGGAAAACACACTGAAACCAGGTCACACAAAATTCCCCATGGAAGCAAAGGTGATTGCAGCAATTTAAACATGTAGTCTCCACTACTGCAGGTTTCCTATTCACAAAGAATGTAGAGAATAAAGAACATACAATTAATCCAAGACGCCTGGTCTGATCAGTAGTCTTCAGGGGATCATCTGGATCTGCAGGAAAAGCACAAAGCCAAAGTCATTCTTCAAACACTCAAGGCAGAAGAAAATTGCTCGGTTAAATCTAGATTCAAAATCATATTTAGATTAGAGATAAAATAATCAAACCAAACCAGTGAGGGAGAAGGGAAAGATGGAATAAAATGATCATGAGAGCAGTCAGAAGTGGAAGAAGATTTGCTCCAATAGTGCACCCATGCCCCCTATGAAGAACCATTGCTGAGTCTACATACTGATAGTAATTGCATACCAAGAGGTATTCCAGGTATAACATGTAGCACAAGCTCAAATTCATGCATATCAACAATGACTAAAATGCAGAGATGATTTATAAATCACCACCAATTGAAGTCACTATAAATGATTCCAATAATCAACTGCTTTGGAGGCCATAGTCATTTAACTAATCTAACCTAATTAAGTGCTCAAGATTGAAATAATGCCAGGTCAAATTTTGACAAACAGATTATCAGCCTGAACTAAATTGCCTAATGATCACATTTAAAGGACAGAAATATTAGTTGTCATTTTCTATACACAACTAAGCATTCAAAATTACTTAAAATGATGGTAGTACTAACTTGATCAAATTTCTAAATTATTCTGGGATTCAGGTTACTTTAAGTCCAAAGATCCATTACAAACTTAGAGAAACAAGAAAAGCAATGATATATATCTGTCAAAACCGTGAATAAACCCACTCTAACATTGCCATAATATGGTCCTCCAAATGCCTCCAAATTAATATCCAAAGAACTGAGACTTCTCCCACACGCCTGACATGAAATCCAACAATGCTCTCCCCCCACCCCACCCCGACCAAAAAATGAAAAAATGCAGCATGTGTACTTGTTGGGAAGAGAGGGAAGCGGGGAGGGAGGAGGGAGAATAATTCTCTTAATTCAACAAGCCCAAGTTATGTTCACTAATCGCTCTTAGAAATCATTTATTTTCTTTTCCAATTCTTCCACCAAAAGGAATATTAAACATAGTTTCCTACTTTATTCAGAAAAAAAAAGGACTGAAACCAAAAAGATTTTAAGAAAAAAAATAAGCTAATTATGGAAAGCGCTTGCTTGCACAAACATAGGCAGTGTTCAGAAGGATAAATGAGTGTAACAAGCAGAAAAACACCTCTCAGGAACTCTAAAGCTTCATCCAAGACAAGGTTCAATAACTGATCATATCCTTTCAGGGTCCCTGTCACTGTAATGCAAAGCTTGTATTAAATAAAATTCATTTACTGAAATATATGAACTGCATTTCTTATCAGCAGAAATCCCAGAAGAATAAGAGTGCAACAACAAATTGATAATGCCAGAAGTTTCCTAGATTGACAAATGATACTAAAACAGAAAAAATTTGCTAGGGGCAATTAATTGATGGTTCAATAAAGATGAAGACCTTCATTATTCATTAGAAATTCACTGGGAGCACATTTAAGACTGTTCCTAATAAATTGCAGAGTCCATTTTAACTTTTAAGTTATTTATAGATTTGTTTTTATGTTCCCCGACAAGCAACATTTACTCATTGTCATCTAATTCAATGCTTATTCACAAATTTAAGCACAGAATGCCTAAACAAACAAAAGACATAGTAAGGTAACAAAGAGAACTATGAATGAAAAGAAAGATATATAATGCTGAATAACAGCGCAAATTGTATGAAGGATTGGTGGCAGAAGGGGCAACTAGATGGATAATATTGCTCCTGAGTGATAGAAGTATTCTAAAGAAGAGACAGCCTTAGCAAGGCAAGAGACAAAAATAATAAGGATTCCCTATGTTGGAAGGCCCTTTTTCCCAAATAATTTACCTTGTCTTCCCCCAGTAAGCTTGACTTGGACGCCCTTGTCAACAAACTTGGCCAAATCCAAAACTGTCTCCTTTCTACCTGACTGAAAAATGAAAGTCACAAAAAAAAGTAAGGAAATGAATGTTAACAAGATGAAATAAACTTAAGACAAGTTTTCTAAACAAAACCACATGGCTCTATTTAGTTGGCTCTTCTGCTGATACTTGATACTTGAAATATGCGTGTGCATGTGTGGTGTGTGCCGATAAAAAATCTATAAAAAAATAAAGGATGACCAAACAAATTAAACATGATTCCCAGCAGAGAGTACTTAGAGTAGCAGATGCAACAAATAGGGTTGTCGGGTTAAATTCTCATCGTTGTTAATGAAAGTAACACCAGAATATACAAAATTTCCCAGGTTATGACAGGCCTATACACACACGCACGCCTTTCAAAAATGCGCTGAGCCCACCCAGATATTTTCTGTTTTCACGCATATACATCCATATCCAAACCTATACACTTACGTGTGGAGATCTATGGAAGATGCATACATAGAATGAGATATACCATTTTACAGAGTGATAAGGTTTCACCGATCCTATAAAAGAAATGATGTCAGAAGCAGAACCAAGCCGTTAAATTCTGAAACTGCAATAGCCACGTGTAAGCCTGCAACAATCAAATAACCTTCTTAAAATGCTTAAAACCGGTGAAAATTGAGAAGAGGTTGTCAGAAAATATCCAATAACCTAAAGCCTAAGAAATTCTCATCAGAAATCGCCAAAACCCTAGAACAATAACTGAGGCCAAAGACCATTCGCAAGAACAAGTGAACAAATTGAACAACCGAAGTACAGAAACCCCGGTCATAAACACTCCAAGCAGACAGGGACTTGTACAAAATCCCATACTACCCAGTACTCATAAATAAAAGGATTAAACATTACGATAACCATAAATGAACACGAATATAAAGAAGGAGAAGAGCATTAGTGAGGACAATTTGAGACTCGGGTACAGAAGAGTACAGTTTGGTGAAATGGCGACGGAGGACGAACAAAATCAAGCAAGCCCTAGCCCTCCCTGGTTATTTCTATTCTTTCCCGCTTCCCTTTTACACTCGAACTCCAGCTGGAAGTCCCAATTACAGACTGAGCGTAGTGCATCCTATACGGCCTGAAGCGATGAGAAAAATAAAGTAGCGGCGCCGGTGGACTGATAATGGGACGGGCTGGGCCTGATAAATATGTGATTATCGCAACTCGCAGGTGGCAAATGGCCCATTTGTGGGTTTAATCATCATGTTCTTTCTATATTTGCTTATTGAAGGAAAATAATCGAATTGGTCATTAATTTTTTTAGGACAATAATTATAATTAATTATGATTATCTCCAGATGAAATTTTTTTACCAGGAATGTGTTATCCTTCATAGATTTTGAATTTAAAAATAATATTTTTTTATTTAAAATAACTTTAACATAGTAAAATAGTAATATACGTGTAGTTTATGTTATTAATATTAGATTTTTATTTATACATTCTTTGCCGAATTATTAGTCAGTGATATTTTTTTCGTTTGGATAATTTAAGATACATGTTGAGATATTTATATTTTTAGTTTGACAAATTTTTCTATTATATAATTTTAAATGAAGAGTAATTCACTTTTTTCTCTCTAAATATTTGTAATTTTGGAGGGACCCAAAATTGGTTTTACATATGACTGAAATCCACTCCTTATGTTTCCTTTTACACTTTACTCTTCTTTAAAATTCAATGTAAACTGGTGATTTCAATGAAATAATGCCATTTGTTTCAGCAAGTATGGGAATCAAATACAATAACTGTATTTTAAATTATAAATCCTGGGCTTGGGCCGAGGCCCGGTCGTGGAATCGGGTTAACTTATCTCTAGACTATTGTTTTGCAAAACCCACGCGTACTCCATAGTTGACTCTGGGCTTGGGCCAAGGCCCGGTCGTGAAAAAAAAAGATTATGATATTTAACCCTAAAATGGGGGGAAATGTAATTAATGGATGATTAGTTTGAGTCATAAACATTTCATTTCCCTAAAGTTAAATCTCGTATTTGAATTTTGTATATGGAAACACTTTTATTTGGATAGTTCTACTTTTGTTATGAGATCTCAATTAAATTAAGTCAAATTAGTAGAAGTTCAATAAATTTTTGTATACTACTAGTTTCAACCCAATAGAAAAAATGGATGATATTTAAGAGTAGGGCTGAAGCCCAAAATAGAAAAAAGAAACTAAGTTAAAAATGGGAAATATGAACTCCTAACAAGTCAAAATGAAAATATCTCTTAATTGATTTGACTGATTGGCCAATTCTTTTTACCTAACTATGAGATAAATTCAAATTGGTTAACTAATCAACACAATCACTGACTTCTGTGGAATCTCACTTTATATCAACTTCCCAGTTCTGCCTAATAAGAGAACTGATTCTAGTCACAAAGGAGCGCAAATGTAATTTCACGCATGCCTGCCTCTGATCACGTCAACAAGAGATATTAAAAAAAAAAAAAATGAAGGACATATAAGATAGGATATATTGAAATCTATTTCAGGCATTAGTAACCAATAGATATCAAAGTGCATCAAAAATGGAGTAAGGGTGACAATTTTATTTTGCCTCGCCATGTCCTAAATTCCAGTTATCCTGCCCTACTCCTGATCTCTTGACTTAGGGCAACAATGAGATGAGCTTGGACATATAAATTCATCTGTTCTGTCTTGAATTCAAACTAAAAAATTTATATTATTAATATATTTTTATTTTTAATATTTATCTTGATAATATTGTCAATAATATTAATATTATTTTTATAGATAACAATAAAGAACAGTACGGTCCAAATATATGTAATTCAATTTTGAATGGGATAGGTTTATCAAAACTTACTCATATCCATCCAATACCATGGACAAGTTACTCATGCCTAATAGAAAAATTAAGTGTGGACTTTTTTTTTTTTTAAAAAAAAAACAATGCTTTAAAGATTATTGATTTCCTTTGAATTAAAAACTTTTAAATTTGATTTTTTACCCCCAAAAACCCATTACTTTTACTTAAAAAATCCTGAAAGAAGAGGGCTTTTGCAAAGTCCCAATTTGAAGTTCCTTTTAAAAAAGCTCTATTTTATTGTGCAAATGTCCTGCAAACCAAACATTTGATTGTTTCCAAGTCCTTGTTCCTCCAATAGAACTGAATACATCTTTAGGAAAAAAAGGAAAGAAAAAGACGAGTGAAAAAAATTTTAAAAACGAAATCTACTGCAAAACAATCTCCCTCCAGGTGAGGTACTAATCGGATAAAAGGAAAAAACAATTCACTAAAACTGTTACAAGAGATTGAAAACTTGATTTTTTTTTATATTATAGAAAAAGTTCAAAAATTAATGGGCAAAGCTCAAATCTTAAATTCTTAAAAATTTTAAATATATCAAAAATAAATATTAAATATTAAATTTTATAAATTCTAGGTGTAATTAAACTCAAAAACCCACAAGTAACGATTGCTTGAAATGGGAGAATCCAAGGCCAAATGCTAACTCCGATGTTTCCAATAGCTGGCCATAAATTTTTGCAAGGCCTTTTTGGAAGATAACCTTGACCTTGCAAACCACAAAATCATGTGAAATGATGGGTGGGAGCGGGGAGGTAGGCAAAAACGACAGTGGAACATCACTAGGTTGTCCTATTCCTTGTTGGTATTGGCTTTTTTTCTTACGATGTTTCAGCCAATCCAATAATTTAGTGTTTGAATGAGTAGGAAATTATGACAGAAAATGAAAGATATCGGATGACCCACAGGGTAAAGGCCAATAAACCTTTTGCAAAACCACTCAAGCCCAAAGCGGTGCAGACTTCAAAGAACGTAAAAATACAAAGAGACAACAAGCCAAAAATCTTGCGAAAAGTAGCTTTTGGCTTTTGGTAAAGCGGATAGGCAAAAAGAGGGAATTCACGAACTTGAGCCCTTGAGTCCTAAGATTGCCATTATGTTCTGATCTTTTTTTCATAATTGTCTTCAGATTCTAATCTTTTTTCATGATTATTTGATCTTATTTTCATTACAAAAATTCAACCAGCGCTTAGGATTCTCTTTTGCAGTCCAAACCATGCTGTACATCCCGTTCGTGATTTGGTTAGATTTTATTTAATTTAATACTTAAATTTAAATTAAATTATAATTAAACTAAATCTTGATTCACAATTTAATTCTATTTTAAACAATGATTTATAATTTATAAAAATAAAATAGATTAAATTATTTGATTTTATAAAAATTTCAACATAATTTTTTCTAAAAAATGAAAATTTAAAAATTTTCTTCAACTTATTTAATTTAACAAATTCGTTATTTGTTAATTATTTACATTAAATGTACATTATACAATAAATATATTTATATAATATAATAAAATTAAAATCATAATAATGAAATCACTCTTTATAAAATAAAATAATTAACTATCAAAAAATATAAATATACAAAATAATAGAAAAAAGTGTGTAATCGAATAATAAAGGTAAATTATGCATTTAAAAATATGATTTATAATTTTGTATATATATAAATTATATAATTTAATTCAATTATATAATTTATTTATATATTAAATATTAAATCGAATGATATAACTTTTTTAAAAAAATTAAATCAAACTAAATTATAATTTAATCAGTTAAAATAATTTAATTTAATTTGTTCAAACACTCCTTCCTTGCTGTTCTTTCTCCAACTACCTGTAAAAAAAGTTCTAAAAGCTTTTTCATGAAGCAGAAGATATACTGCTAAACACTTTTTAAATGTAAAAGATTTTTACGAGAAAAATAAAAAAAGGGGTAAAATTGAAATTGAGTTTCACCGTCCCCAATTTAGGCAGTATTGAAACTGCGGGGAGTATATTAGTAGAGGAGAGCTTTCGGAGGCTACTGTGAGCGGTGGGGGGGACAGGCACAGTGGTAGGTGGGCACCGCTTTGTGCTCACTGACCTGGCCACGAGCAGGTCACATGGGAACAAGCAATTGCTGGGCCGCGGTGGTATAGACCCTGACCTCTGCCTCTGTCTACTCATTTACTTCTGTGCCAGGATATGCGTTACCTCTTATTTAATGCTTTGCTATCCAACCTCTATATATTATTTCTAAAACTTTGTGCCCGATGATTAAGGGTGAATTCATGTGTTTCCATACATTAATATATCTGAATGATATTTTAAAATTATAAATAATTATTTTTTCGTCGTGGTTATATTGGTGTCTCTAAGCTTATATTTTTTAATTATTTTTCAAGTTATGGGTCATAAAGTTGATTATTTAGTAAACAATTTAAAACAGAGAAAATAATAGTAATAATAATAATTTTCTTAGGTCTTTGTGGTCTTTTTGATTCCTCTTGTCGATTAATGCCAAGTTAGTTTTTTATTTAAATATGGTCGGAAGTAAGCACATCTTTTACGATGATTCATGTGCATGTATATGCATTGGACAAAGATTCTATCATGTATTAACGAGCTTACCTGCTAAACTTTTTATCTCTATATTAAAAAGTAATAATTATTAAATTTTCGTTAAAAAAATGGACAGTAAATGAGATTTTATCGCAACCAAAGATAAGGTGAAAAAGGAAAAAGGACAATTAGTAATCTTCCCATTCATTTTATTTTTATTTTAATTTCTTTTTCGCAGGTTAAAATTTAAAACACTTGAAATGCTTTTGAATTAGGATTAAACATGTTATCATAACGATAACTTTACATACATACATAGAGAAAGAAATATGAAATGCGTAATTACATACATACATAGAGAAAGAAATCGGTGATGCTTTCACCGTCTTGTTTGATTCTCTTCCAAGACTCTTGCGCAGATTTTCACGTGCATGCAACTTCCTCTGTTTTCTCCTTTCTGAATCTTACCTCAACCACCGAGCAATGATAATTGCGATCGCATTAAACTAATAATATCTAAGCAACTTTCCGACTCGCCGTCACTGTAATAGAATTAAAAATCTGAAATTTCAGTAAACCAAATAGAGTTGCCGGAAAAGCTCTAACAGGTCGTTTGCAGCGGCCACCCGCAGAGGCAATCGTTCGCTATGAACGACGACGCATCGAGGTGGTCGAACGCCGCGCTGTCCGGAATCCGCCCGCAGAGGTGGTTGTGGCTCAGATCCATGTGCCCTATGTACCGTGCCGAGGATATCGATTTCGGAACCGAACCTTTCAAATTGTTGTAAGACAAATCAAGTGCCGCGAAGTACGTTTTCGGGCCGAAAACGTCGGGTATGTAGCCCTCGAGAGAGTTTCGGCTCAGATTTAGAATATTTAGGCCGCTATCGCCCAGCAAACTCGCCGGAATTGTGCCGGAGATTTGGTTGCTGTCTAGCTTCAGAGTTGACAGGACCGGCATTTTGCCGAGTTGTGCGGGGATTGGGCCAGATATTTTGTTCATCGAGAGATCTAGGTCGGCCAGTCGGTAAATGTTGGCGACTGAACTCGGGATTGGCCCAGTGAGTTGGTTCCGACTCAGCAAGGCTCGACTCATCATGGAGAGCTTGCCGAGATCCGCGGGGATTTCGCCGGAGAGCCGGTTGTTGCTGAGGTCGAGGTGCATGAGGCTCTGGAGGTTGACAATAGAGGCAGGGATTGGGCCGGAGATGACGTTGTCGGCGACGTTGAGGACGGTAAGACGGCTCAGTCGGCCGATCTCCCCCGGAATTTCGCCTGAGATCTTGTTTCCGACGACGTCGAAGATCCGGAGGTTGGAGAGGGATGTAATGCACGCCGGAATCTCGCCAGAGATGCCCTTCCAGTCGGCGACGATGAAAGTGTGGAGGCGGTCAAGCCGGCAGATGGAGGGCGAGAGGGAGCCTGTCATGAACCCAGTCCGCCCGGCTTTCTCGAAGATCGGGTCCTCGGACTCGCCGCGGAGGGAAATGTCGGCGACTCGGCCGGTCGTGGGGTCGCAGTTCACCCCGTACCAGTTTTTGCAACAGTCGGACCGGTCCACGAGTCAAAGATTCCCAAGTAGGGCTCGTGCAGGCCGGCTTTCAAGTCCAGAAGAGCCGCTCTGTCCGACGGCGAGCAAGAGTTGACAGCCGAAGCTATGGCGAGCAGGGCAAGAGAGATGAATATAATCCTCATTTCTCGCTGCTTTAGTCGTGACGCAGCTAGCTCTATCTTTTTCTAAAGTGTACGTACACCTTCCCTCTACACTGAAGGTGAGTCAGTGTGGGACTGAGCGTGAATGTCCTAGAGGGGGCTAGGACCCTGAAACTCGAGCTATATACAGAGCACTTGGACTAAAATACCCTCTTATCTTATCTTACATGATACTGCGGGTGAGGGAGCTGGAAATGGGCCTAGCCAGAATGCAGGGATAATTTAATTTTTAAAAATAAAATAAAAAGCATGACTCCACAAAATTCTTTTATTTGATTTTTTTTTTTAAGAACAAGTAATACTTCAACTCTTAAAAAATTTAAATTTTAGTATTATATCATTTAAAAATACATAAAAATATTATTTTTATAAATATTAAATTTATAATAGGTCTATCTCTTCTTTTTTTTTTTTTTTTTTTTTTGAAAACACCATTAAATTCTCTATGCTATTGCCAAGGAACTTTCCCAACGGCCAAGCGTTTATGGCGTTTTCTGCGTTTGAAATAGTAGGTTCACCTTCCAGTTATTTTATAAATTAAATTTTATATTTTAAAATGCCTTTAAAATTTGAATTCCTATAAATATCAAATATACAAAAAATAAAAAATTTGAAATATCATTTTTTTAACAAACACGCCCTTAATCTTATCCTTCAGAATCTTACGTTGTGCTGGGTACCTAAAAGTCAGGATAACATAACTAGTGGGAAAATGAATAAAGAGCTGCCCAAATCCACCCGAACTGCAAACTTGAATGCGCTCGGATTATCTGATGCCTGGGACCCATACGTAAATAACTTATTTTCGGTGATCTTAATGCAATTACTTTTGCAAGTGCGGTAACCTAAAAAGACTAAAATTTAAAAAGCAAGAGAGGGAAAAAATAAATATAAGAAAAACATTTTTGGGACAGGATCTCGTGCAAGCCTTCAAGCGGCTTTAGTAGTGACCAATGTATCTCTTGTGATATTTTTAATTTCTAATTATGCAATTAACGAAGAAAATTCTTTTGCAAATACGAATTAATATTTAATTTTGTAAATATATATTTATTGGTGGTCTAAGCTACGTAATTTTTTGTTATATATAATTTTTTAATACACACACAAAGAATAGTTATATGGAATTTGTGATTATAGTTGCTATCGAGACATCTATTTAGAAGAGAAAACTAAATTCGTCTCCTCATAAATAAAACCAGAATTTTAAATGAAAAAATAAAAATTGAAAATAATTATTTTCATATTTATTATTTCTCAAAACAAGAAAAACAAAGCAAAACATAGCATCTCAGAGCACGCCTCTGCAAGTGGATGGAGGTGGGCTCTTAACACTGTCACGTGGAAACCCTATTGGTTGTCGGTGGGCCGGGCCTATGCTTTGGACTAATGAGCTGTGCTGTTCCTGCCACTCGTGGTTTGGTCCGCCTTCCACCGGTTAACCTGCGCTCCAATTACAGTTAACCCCAAAAGAGGTGGGAGAAAAAAAAAACCTAACGCGAATGTTGGGTCATTTGATGCATTTCTCGAAATATATATAAAAAATTCATTAGTGCATTTTGTAAGAAAAAGAAGCAAGAGGAAAAACTGAGTGGGGTTGTCAATGTTGGGATTCGGATTAAATTTAAATTTAATTATTTACTTTTATATTTAAATTTGATTTAAAATTTTATAAGATATGTGTCTGTTAAATTATATTTGAAATTGATGTATAATTCAAAATATAATAAAAAAATTTAATCGGATAAGAAAATAATACTTTTTATATTTAAATTTCTCAACTTTATTATATCAATCATATTTGTCCTTGAATTTTTAAATTTTTTTTAATTTAATTCTTACAAGTTTAAATTTATTAATTATATATATTATTATTAATTTAATAAAATATTATTAAAATTTATATTTAAATTTTTAACTGATCGAATTATTTAATTCTATATTTGATTTACTTATTTTAAATTACGAATATTTATAATGTAATTTGATTTATAAAATATTTTAATTAGATTCAATTTTTTAAATTTAAATCAAATTTAAATAGGATTTAGATTAAAATTTAATTTATTGATGGTGCTAAACTTGAACAGTGGCTTCCTTTAAGGGACTGGAGAGATTTTATTAAAAAAAATGGAGCTTAACTATTGGGTTGTTTTTCCGGCAAAGAAAAGTGACTTAAAAGTCATTACTTAATCATTGGTTATTATTATAAAAACATCGATTTCAAACATTATCTTCTGAATCAGCTCGAGGGACCATATTTTTGTTCGAACGAGAAAAGGCTTTAATTCTTTTTAATTATTTTCTCTTAGGTTAGATAAATATATTTCTCAAATTTTATGTCGTTTAAATTTTATTAAACAAAAAAAAAAACCTTATAAATTTTAAAATTCAATTATATGACCCCAAAAGGCTTAATTTATTTTAAGAGGGACCATGTTTTTGTTCCGACGTGAAAAAACTTTAATTTTTTAAAATTATTTTTTCCTAGGTTAGATAAATATATTTCTCAAATTTTATGTCATTTAGAATTTTATTAAAAAAAAAATCTTAGAAATTTTAAAATTCAATTATATAACCCAAAAAGCTAATTAAGACCAAGCGGCTGCTTAAGTATTTTCTTTAAAAGGACTACAAGAACTTCTTCTCACTACTCAAAAAAACAGGGGTTTAAAAATTTCTGTGTGGCGTTAGTGTTTTAGTTTATCTTTACATTAAAATATTTAAAAATGATTGATAAATTATTAACTTTCCGGATTTAGCACTGCTAAGTCCTTGTTTCTGCCCTTAGCACGTAGACTCTTTCCGGAGGGTGTTTTGTCTGTGCAAGACATGTTGTCCAATCACTTTCTGAAAATTGTAAAGAACATGCTTAGAGTTGTCATTATTTATAAGTACAATTTATTAATTTTAGTCCTATGTCTGTACTTCTAAGTGCATAGTTTTGTTAGAATCAATGGTGTGCTTATCGCTGCTAATACCTCATAAACTACACGGGTGTTTTTAGAAATTTGTATAAGCATAGGGGCTTCTCCAGAAATACCAGTGAAACTTCAGTTCTAGCTGTCATCCCAATCTTGAGGACAACAAACCTTCTCCAACGCAATGGCACGTGAAAACTCTTCACATTTGAAGAGAGAGTAACTCTTATGTTAACGCTCTTGCTAAGAATGGTTTTTTTTATTGAACTGAGTCTCTAGGAATGAGCTCTTCTCCCATGTGAGTTGAGATCTCCTGTGTCTTTAGACTCTGGAAGCACGTGTGTACCCCGGCTTACTGTTATTTAGCTTAACTTTGAGTTTCAGCCCATCTTAACACAAAAAAGAAAAGGAAATTCATGTAAGTATAGATTTTATGGAGCAAAATACAGTATAAGCAGTTGGTTGATCCATTTAATGTTAGGTGCTACCCAGTGTAGTAGCACTGTAACAGTCCAATAAATGAGTGATATGTGTGTAGATTTATTATTTTAAATATTTTATTTTTTGTTTTATGTTTAACCAAATAAATTAAAAAATTATCGCTATAATATGAAAATTTAAATTATTTTGCATTTTATTTTTATAAATTTAAAAGTGAAATATGGAACAAATTCATTTTAAAAATCTACACACATATCACTCATTTATTGGATACTAAGGTGTTGTCCCATTAGAGCAGCACCTAGTATCAAATAAACTCTAATTAGTCTAATGTACATAATATTTTTCAGTTATTTTTTATGATTTATAAATAGCGTCCTTAAACGTGCAAACAAATATATACAGTATGCAATTTTATTATAGTTGAGTCCTGACCACGTGGTATCATAGAATTTCAATATTTTTCTGGTGCTCGTTGGGTTCAGTACTCTTGTTCATGTCCATGCTTCTCAACTTGACTACAAATTATGTTAAATTTTTGCCAGAATAATGGAGAGTGCAAACAAGGAAGGCTGATATTGGGAAAGGACATTGAATTATTTGCAACAAGAAAATGAAAAGAAAAGATTTTGATAATTTATACATGAGAAAAGGCGGGGGCGGGGGATGATTTGGAATACATCTTAATTTACTAATTCATTCAGGAAGTAGCAAAAACATAAGGTGTCCATGTCGATATTAGATACTTTATGAAAGTTAGAACTTACAAAGCTAATATGTATCCTATTATCATTTTATATATTAATAAATGTTTAAGTTATTTATTTTTTTATAAATTTAAGTTTTTAGAAGAAATAGTAACTAATATTTTAATACGGTATCAGGGTTAGTAAAAGATACGTGTCCAAGTTTCACAACTCACAAATTCAAGTTTTTTCATATTAACTTTGTTGTTATTAAAAATTCTAGCATATATAAAACGGCATGTATACAGTTAGAGTTACAAATATAAATTTATTGCAAACTCAAATACGGAAATGATAAACAGATACCAGTTCTCGCCCTACAACAATCTTCCAAGACTGTGAATTAGAGGTTAAACATCCGAAGAAGTGGATGCAAAACCTAAGAAGTCTGTGTCTGATTCTAGCTTGGACATGTCATCCTCTTTCAAATACAACAATACTTCTATACCATCACCTGATCTTGTGGGTAGGTAAAGCACTGTGTCTTTAAAGCATGACCCTCCCATGGTCACCCACACGGGTCGACCCGACCCAAAGTCAGCTTCGTACAATGCAAAGTTGGAGAAGCTTGAAAATTTCACGTTCACATCTTCAGATTTGTTGCTATAATCATCCACGTGCACGTCGCTAATAGGATTTTCATGTTTTTTAACAAAACTATCAGCATTTCTCTTTACTGCATCCCTTGTTCGGGTCACAAACTCTGATCCGTCCATCAAAGCCTGGTCCGTGGATTCTCCAACCTTGGCAAACCCGACAAGGTTACCAAAATAAGATTCCGAAAGCGGAGGATTTGCTCTCATACGCAAATTCACCATAAGAAAGGCCAAATAACGCTTTTCACGAGTTGCTCCTGCAATCCTGCTCCATATGAAAGCAGAGAGTGCCATGACCCGACTGGGTCGGGTCGAGAATCGGGATCTAAGAGCTGAGAGAGAAGGGGCCCTGAACACAAACCTCTTAGCCACAATCTTCTCAAAATGAGTTGAACCAGTTTCGGCGTGAAGGGCAAGGGTTTTGGTGGGAAGAGCTTAGGGAGGTCAAAATTGGGACTTGACATTCGGTTATAGTCTAAATCCCCGCGAGCCACGGCAGCCCAGGAATTGACGAAATAAAAAATTGATGCAGCATCAAAAACCTTGTGATTAGAAGATATACCTGGCGGAGACAATTCGATAAAGAAAGTTAAAAATGGGTTGACGTAACAATGGCAAAAATAATAAACAAAAAACTTGATATATATCTAATAATACCAATCGCAATGCCACCGCACTCGAAGAAGTTCACTTGTACTGCCAGTGCAAGATTGTGAGACTCTTCCCAGTCAGTGTACGGAAGCAACTTGTCTAGCTTGGCGAGCCGAGACTCGCCGATGACTTGTGAGAGCTGGCAATTGACTCGGGCTTCGACGTAAGGGACGCCCTCGTCATTGCAGTCGGTGTGGTCTTCTTCAACGCGGCCAGCAAGCGGGTAGAATTTTGTGAGAACATTCTCAAGAGATCGCTTTAGCTTGTTGGCTTGCTGGAGATTGGTGGTGTTGGGGTCTTCTGGGTAGAAATAGAGGGTGGGCATCAACACCCGGGCTTGCATTTGGTCATAGAAGGAGGGTTGCAGATGGCGCAAATGGTGTGGAGTTGGAAACAATGGCTTGATCATCTCCCTGCAAGTCACCTCAACCTCCATTTCTGTGAGTGTTTTTTTCCACTTTTCTAATTAAGTCACGTATCTATGGGTGAAGGGAAAGGGAACAATTTATGTTTTTGGGAACCAGGAGGAGAAGAGGAAGGTGACGCCTTCGCTTTTATGTTTTTCTTCCTGGCTGTAAATGATCGGTTGAGAGTAGCTGCATGGCTTAATAGCCTACCGCGCCAAAAAAAAAAAAGCGTAATAATAATTGAAAACCCGTGCATGCAACTGTATTTTTATCTCTGCGTCTTTTTTTCCTTGCGAGTTTCCCCTTCCAATTAACAACCACTTTAAATTTTAAGCCAAACATAACGTGATTTTTTAACAAGCATGAGAAAGCTGGTAGAGGAGGTCACATCACATGCGGAGCTACGTCACAGGCCAAGCAGCAGGTAGATCAACGCCTAAGATAAAGCCACGTGAGCAGATCAATCCATCGCTATCTGTCAACAGAAAACTTTGAGCCAAAAGAAAAATGGATAGGAAAAATGGCCGCAGCCAATTCCTACTGCCCACTGCCAACCTTAACTTGTTGCCATCTGTACTCCATCGTATGAGAAAAATGAGAAGGACGCAAAGGGAAAATGAATTGTCAAGGGCAATGAATTTTTTTAGTGCTAGAATTGTAAAAAAATAAAAATAAAAATAAGTTCGAGAAAGAAAATTAAAAAAAAAAGTTATACAGAAAAGGTTTTAGTGAGAAAGGGGGGCATTTTCTATTTTGTAAAAAAGGGGGGCATTTTCTCTTTTGTAGAACCAGATGCAATGCTAACAAGGAGTCCCGGGGCTCCCAAAACTCATGACAATGGACTTTTGCTTACAGCCGGCACGTTAGGTTTAAAAACAGTTCGCTTTGGTTGAATTCAGTTCAAAGACGAATTTTAAACCAAACAAAAGACCTGCATTATTTTTCTATATTAAACAATTTTACAAAAAAATTTAAATGTTTATATTATGCATATAATATATGTTATTTAATTATTTATTCTGTTTGGTTCGGTTTTTCTTTTTAAAGTTTTTCGTAAAACCAAAACTGAATTACAGACCTTGATTTTTTCAACAAATGGAAAATAGAACCAGATTTCAGTTTGAAATAATCTGAAACCCAACCAAACAACCCTGGTTCACTTTGATTTTTGGTTTTCTTGGCTACCTTGCGAACCCCTCTTGAAACAAGTCTAAATTAATGGTCTTCACTGATTTAGTCACTGTCCAAGCAATTGCCAGTGTGTTGGAGTGTATACTTACCTGAAGGAATGTGTATATAAAATATATTTTCTTTTTGAACATTTGTAAACCACCAAGACAAGCCAACCTCACCGTTAAGCCCAACAACTAGTTCCTGCCTTCTAGCCATGTCAATGGAATCATTTTAGTGCTGTGAAATCAAGCAAAGATATCTTCTACAACAAATGACTCATCATTCCCAACATTAGCTCCGGCCGGGCATTGTAGCTGTTCATAGTTTAGCTGTCTAGCAGCTTCATATAAAGCAATACCAACACTAACAGACAGATTCAAACACCTAACATAAGTTTCAACCATTGGAATCCGAATAGTCCCTCCGCCCAATGTTTTGCTCTGGCAGTCAAGCAGGGCTTCAGGGGGTAATCCACTAGTTTCGGAGCCAAATATAAGCCAATCACCCCTTCTGTACGAAAAATCCTGCATCAAATGGAATTCATATTACAGCTAACACTGATTATGTGAAGTTTGACCATGCAAAGCGGAGATCACCCATCTGCTGTGGTGGCAACAATATGAAGTGGAACAACATTGCCACAACTAGGTAGCTTTCCATATCTTTTTTTTTTTTAACCATTATTATTATTATTATTATTATTATTATTTTCTTTATTTTTGGGCATCCCTGCAGCAAGGGGTTCTGAATTGATGAATCAAGGGAAGTTCAACAACTATTGATGTGAGCCATGTAGGAAAAAAATCCACCACAAGAGAAGTCCAAAATGATAATACATGTGTCTGTAAGACTAACTATTTTGCATTTTGTTTGATAAAGGAAGACATTACGTAAAAAAGATTCCATGAGTGCACATGCACACACCGGAAGAGATTAGAGTGAGGTAATATCATAAAGGAAAACATAATGTCAAAAAGATTCTATGAGTGCACACGGACGCACTTAAACAGATTAGAGAGATGTAATATATTTTCCCATCCCAAAGAAAGAGTATCAGATGGAAGGCCCTTTGCAAATATTAGTTTCATAAGAACCACTTATCTTTTATATCTACATTGCTCTGTTTTTTTCCTAACAAGATCCACAAAGTTGCACTCCCCATAAATGTTGAAGAATTAAATTTGCTAATGTGGCACTACCAATTTACCACTGAAATTAGAATCAAAAGCGAAAAAAGATGGGTAGATAAGGACAATCAACTTACTGAATGAATAGCTGTTCCTCTTTTAGTGAATGCCAAAAGCCGTTTTTCTCCATCCTGTAAGGAAAACAAAAATTATAACTAGAAAGACAGAGGGAGGGAAAAAGTTCAATTTCAGCTACATCAAAAAAGAATGAAAACCTGTTGATTGAAATAATTCAAGAATTCCCCCCATGAATTATGCACTTTGACAACTACATATCTAATTTAGAGTGTCAATGGTCACAACAAGTAATGCCGTGTCAAAAATTTTGATCAAAAAAAAGCATGAGCTTCCAACATCTCCTCAGCCCCCCAAAACAACCACACACACAAAGGAAATTAAAAAAGGATACGGCCAATAATCTAATCCAGCGCGCTTTAGCTTTGTGTCATCCACCTGAAAACCTAATGGCTGAAGGGGGAAAAAGTTTATATAACCACGTTAGGCACTGTTCCTCAGCTGATAACAAAAGACTACATTATGTTCATTCTCATTCAATTTAAATAAAAATCATGGATACAAAAATGCAGATAACAGGTGAAATTTCTACCCCAACTAAGTGTAGTCCAACGGCTGATGCTGCACAAGTTCTAGCAATGCATCCAGTGTTACCAGGAATCTGCAAAGGATGAGAGAATTCTCAGAGCCAATCTTGAGATATTTGAGGTTGTGTGCAACCCAGCAGACAAAAGGCATGTGATCTCAAGTCAACAATAATATAGTGTCAAAGTGTCTGGTAAAAATTTAAAAACAAATTTAAAAACAAAAGGGAAGAAAATTGATGGGTGCATTGGACTAAAATTACTTTTAAATATTTGCAAACATCCAGGGGGGTTAACTTTAATATTTATGTACTTGACAATTTAAGTACCGAATCGTACTCAATTTACAGACAATTTTCTGTTGATAATAACAATGTTTTAAAATAAAAACGAATTCAAACTATTAGAGAAGATTAACTTGATTATTCCTGGTTATTTATGTCCACAAAAATTATAACATCAAACCAATTAATATAAGTACTATTTTATCTTGTGAATAATCATAAAGTTACTTGCTCAGTTTGGAAATAGTTTTAGGTACAGAATCCATCCTCTCATGTCTACTTGTTCTACACGATATGTTTCGATACTTCTATAGCACTTCCCAATCTAGGATTGATGAAAACTAGTGCTTTACTTTCCAAATGTTTGAGAAGGTATAATGTAAACATAAGATGGAGTTCTTATGAAATCAGCCATTGAAATGTTAAAATTGCTGCATGACAAAAAAACAACCGTACTTCATTCGATATGTTATGCAGTAATGCCATAATTCTCCATTTTCTGGGAAAAAAGGGATACAAAAAGAAATGAAAAGGAAAATCAGGCCTTTTCCAAATACGTGGGATCAATGAATCCTATATTTGAACTTTGGAATTAGTCATACAATTAGCTAAGCATGATACAGCTGTTTTTTTGACTGCAGAGAAATACCTACGCCATCCTAAACTAGGGGAAGGGCATACGAGCTCGCAGGATTTTCGTCTCTTTCAGAGCTGGGGATTAAAGACAGGTAACAAAGTGGGCTATCCACTTGCTCAACATAGTTGGAACTTGCAGCAAGATTTAACAGTGTTTAAATCTAAATAACCTTTTTTCCTCAATTTTCACACAAGCCCTCAATATGATCAAGCAATAAGTGTTGTACCCATCAAGCATCCCAGAGTCCATTCATCAATTATAAGCAAAATGAAGTCAATCTGAACTTTGTAACATTCCGTTGAAAAAACACTGATTTCTTACAATGAAACAAAATAAACAGATATAATCATCAGAATTTCCCAGAGAACTGCTCATTATGAGTTATGCGGTACCTGAGGAGAAACTAATACCACTTGAAGCAGCTTGTTCTGTGAAACCGCGCCGACCGCCTGACCAACACCGTTAGGCAAACCACTCCCATTGCCTTTTTCAGCTACAAAAAGCCCAAAAACATGCCACCCATTAAAACATGCCTCTAGCAGCAAGTTCACACATAAACATGAGAGATAGAAAAGTACGCAGTGAGCAGAGCAGAGAGAAACGCGGGGTATAGGAGAGAGGAAGGACGAATTTCTTCCTGACTTGCGCCAAGTGAAGCGGGCGGAGTAGATGAGCTCTGCAGCGAAAATGGAGAGGGGTGGTTATGGCGGTTAGGGTTTTCAGACCTGTAGATGAGTCCATTCAAAACCTCCGCTCTGCAGCTGCGCCTACTTGCTGCCTCTTCCTTCGTTCGGACTCGGATTAGAAGAGCAGCAGATCGTGAGGGATCCGGTGTCGGCGATTTGCATTTCGGTCCTCTAGAAGTTATGAAGGGTTAAATTACACATACGTCATTCTAATATCAAGAATTACAAGGAGCTCCACTTCCGGAAACATAGCTGGGTAAAGGCCCCTTCAAAACTTTTTTATTTATTTATTTATTGATTCTAAGGCCCCGTCAAAACTTGGCTCACAAAATTAATACATCCATCACAATTAACTTTATAACTAGTTTCTTTTTGAGAACCATTTTCTTATTAACTCATGAACTAATTTATCTAGAAGAGAAGCTATTTAATTGGGCTGATTTGTAATTGATTTAGTACTTATAAATATTAGTATATAAGAATTTATCAACAAATTATATAGACATTCATAAATTTAGTTTGATCCACAAAGTTTAACAATAATTTGGTATAAAGTTATCTATTCATAATTTATTTATATTATTTTAAAATTTTAACTATTGAAAACATTTGAAATAGAGAAAAAATTTTTATATAAAAAGTGTATTTCATGAAAATATGATAAATAGATAAAGAAAAGAAGTTCAAAAAATGAAATTATTTTTTATAATGCTTGAATTTGATTTAAGATTACTTGAGTTTAAATAAGTTAAGCACAAAGTTTATGAAATTAAGCTCAAATTTAATTAAAATTAAATAAGCCAAGTTTGAGTATAAGGATATTAATAGGCTTAATTAGCTTGGGTAGGTTGCGGTCTAATACGTGTAGCCGTAAGCGGACAAACGTAAATTTTAAAATATGCGGGGCAAATACATAATAACTGAGCCACAGTTCACAGAGGAGACAACAGCAAACCTCGCGCCACACATTTCTCCCGTTAGTCGGCAAACCGATTGAAAAATCCGAGAGTATCTCCGATCTGAGATTGAATCTTTCATAATCTGATTCACTATCAGGTAAAGGAACTGCAAGTTCGGGATTAATTTGTCTTGATATTGTTTTTTCCATTCTTGTACATTAACATCAAGAGTTCTGATTGACTTGCGATGGATTCAATGAGGATGGTTTTCGTGTTTTAGTATTTTATAGTTTTTATCAGTGCGCTTTTTTTGGGATATATCAATGAATTAGACCCTAGGAAGCGGGGGTTTGATTTTATCCCGCCGACGGTTTGGATTTAGGGTTTTTTATGGGTTGATTTGGATTGCTTTTGGTCTTAATTAACGATATTGGTCAGCTCGGTGAATTTGGTGATCGAACTTTGGCGGTTTAACCTTTTGAGTTGTTCAAGAGAAACATCACTCTGATTATTGATTAAGAGTGTTTCTCTTTATTGATGTTCTTTTGCATTATTATCTCTGTTGATTTAATTTTGCATTATTGGTTTTTAAAATTATATCTTTTAGGTTGCTTGAGTCTTTTTTTTCCCCGCATCAACAATTCTGAATGAGGCTAATTTTAAAATAATTACTGCACGAGGAAAAAGAGTTTCCCCTATTATTCACGGGGATTTGTACCGGTGGTACAGTGCTTACTGTTATCTTTGGCTTTGAGATTTTAATGGATTTTGGTTTGATGGTTTGAGTATGAAAAGAATAGTATGAAGATTCACATTCCAAAGTTTAATCATTTGGATAAAACTTTTTTTTTTTTTTTGTACTTTTGTTTCATGGACAGCAAAAGATGGAATCAATGGTTCCTTGAGTAGTATAATATGAGCCTTTAGTGAGTGAGAGACCTGAAAAGCAGTAAATAGTCTGTGGAAGTTAACCGTTATATGGGTTACTGTCTTGTTTATATTATTTAGTGTATGTTGTTTTATGCTTCATGATTATGAGAAAGGAAGCTATTTGAATTTTTTGTTTCCCTAGTGCTGTTAATTCACATTTATAATGACCAAACCATCCTATTTCCTTATCTAAATAGCGTGTTAGCTTGTTTGTCTAGCAGTGAATTCTTTTAAACTGGTAGAAAAACCTATATTATTCTTTATCAATGGAGAAAGAAGTGGACCCTAGACTATTCGTTAATGATGGCTCATTCATGGAGAGGTTCAAACAGCTCCAGCAAGAGAAGGGTGCTGCAGTAGAGATGTCTAAATCAGGAGAACCTGCATCTCAGGCTTCAACTCCTAAGCCTGTAGTTAATAAAACTAGCTTTCAACCTAAGGTCAATGTTTCTCAGAAATCCACTCCAGTTGCCTCAAGTGGCAAACTTGCATTCACCTTGAAGCAGAAGCTGCGGCGAGTGGAACCTGCTGTTAAGTTGAGTGAAGATGAGGATGAAGAGGAAAAAGATGCTCCAAATGCATCTGGTAATGGGTTGATGAAACGACAGAAGACAGGTCAGACTCAGATTGATGCCTCTGAGGAGTCGTTAAAACAAATTGTTGTTGGTAAATATTTCTCATATAAGTATTTTCTTATCTGGTTGACTTGAGTTGGAACCAAAATTTGGTTGAATACTCCTCTCTCTCTCTCTCTCTCTCTCTATATATATATATATATATGAGGTGAAGAAAAGATTAAAAGGCCCAAATAGTGCTGACGGTACTTGTTGTGAAGTATGTCTTAGATGCTATTTTTCATTCCTGTCACAATTTATTAGCAATTGAATTTGGGACACTATTTTGATTACCTCATATTATATGGTCTTCTTAATTTCATAAGAGTATAATGCTTGATGGAAAAGTTGCTTCTTCCATGTTCTCTGTCTTACTTGAGCAGATGAATCCGTTTGTTGGTTCATAACATATTTCTCCTTCACTTTGCCCTTTTATTATGTGACTTAAATTAATGATGGAGAGAACTTTGTTGCTTTGCAGTTTGCACTATTTGTCCTATTGTGGTTATAATTCAACCTATTGATATTATCACCTTTTAGTGCTTGATTATGGATCCAAATCTACTAGTACTTAATATATAAAATCTCTGTTTCTTTTACAGATAACCTGTTGATATTATCATTCTTTGTAGTGCTTGATTATGGAGCTAAATCTGTGAGGACTTCAATATATCTACATTATCTATATAATCTTTTTTACATATATACATATATTTGCACATACAAATGGTGGGGGGGGGGGGGAGGGGTTGTAGCTGGAGAGGAGAGAACTGCACCTGCACTTGCACTCACATGAGAGAGAGAGAGAGAGAGAAGCGTTTCTAATCATCAGCATCAGTCACACTCATACTGATACATTTCTGTGATTGCCATTCATTACATTTCTCTTGGTCTGACCTTTTTTTTGGGGGGGGGGGGGGGGGGGGGGGGTTCTGGATGATCTCTGGACCTGTGTCCATCCTAGCTGGCCTTGGTTGTGAAGGAACCTTAAATTATTGCATTCTTTACTGTTAACTGACTGACTTATTT